AACGACAGGATTAGAAGGTGGCTCAGAATTTGCTATTTTTGCAGAACACTCTCTCAGATTCATGGAATGACTGCAGTCTCTCAATGGAGAACTGACAGGTTTCTAAAGAGAATCACAGAATCCCTGCTGTGCAGAAAGAGGCCATTGAGTCCACACCAACCCACCAAAGAGCATTCCATCCAGACCCCACCCCCTACCCCATGCCTGTAACCCGGCATGGGGTTTTTACAATGGCTAACCCACATAGCCTGCAGACTATGGGGCAATTTAGCACAGCCAACCCACCCTAACCTACACATCTCTGGACTGTTAGAGGAAACGCGAGCAGACACGGGGAGAATGTGCAAACTCCACACAGACAGTCGCCGGAGGACGGAATCGAACCCGGGTCCCTGGCACTGTGAGGCAGCGATGCTAACTGACATTTCTAGTTATGGAAAGGATGCCGTTTGTTCGCTGGGATTATGGTTTAGATTGGGCTGGAATTTTGTTCTCGGATCAGCACCCCCAAGGTGGGTTAATTTTCTTGGTCCTGACCCCGCATCAAGTCAATCACTGGCCAGGACGTGTGCCTGACCATTCACTTAGGGACAGGAGGTGGACTCCTGAGAGCAGACGTACTGTCAGAGGAGGGAGCTGCTAATGCAAACAGCAGAGAGAGGGGTGGGGGTGCCTCAAGATGCAAGCATTTTCTGAAAAGATTTTAATAAGGATGAGAATTTTACTGGCCATTGATGTCGAACTGCTATTCTCAAGGAGGGAGGGATAGCTGACTGGAAAGCTGCAGTCACTGGATGCATTGGAAAGGGCTGAAAGCTCTTATTTAAACCCCTGCACCTTTTTCATAGAATCCCTACAGTGTGGAAGCAGGCCATTCGGCCTGTTGAGTCCACACCAACCCTCCAAAGAGCATCCCACCCAGACCCAACGTCCTACCCTATCCTTGCATTTCCCACCCTGGACACTATAGGCACTTTAGCATGACCAATCCACCCTAACCTGCACATCTTTGGACTGTGGGAGGAAACCAGAACACCCGGAGGAATCTCTTTATTTGGCTCTCTCCCAGCCTTTCCCTTTCCTTCTCTCCTCCTGCATTGGGCGTCAGTTCTAACTGAGGGAGTGCTGCACTTCTGGATGAACTAGCTTGAACTGAGGGCCCTATAGCTTGCTGTGTGCAAATTGGCTGTCACAATTCCCACATTAGAGGGGTGACTACACTGCAAAAGTACTTGATTGACTGTCAAGTGCTTCAGAATGTCTTTAGATGGTGAAATAGACTCTATAAATGCAAGTTCTTTTTCTTGACTGGTGAAGTTCATCTACACTGTAAACTTTTGGCTGTCCTGGTAAACTTAACGAAAAGCGGTTTTGCCAATGTTGTTTATGATGGGAAAATAAGGGAAGAATTCACATATCCTGGAACTGCAAGGGAGCTGTTTCAGATCAGATCCTTTTACCCCAGCAAAAAAAAAGTATGGAACCCAATTTAAAGCGATTCTCTATTCTCACTCTATTGCAATGCTAACATTTAGCCATTTCAATGACCTGAACTTCACTCTCAGTTTGTGCAACTTGACTTTTTCCATTTCTTTGCATCTTATTACTATCTTTATTTAGCTGAAGAACTAAGTGTTCTTTGTTCCAATCTTCTGCCACAAGAGGGAGGTGTTGCATTACAATATGACTGACTGCATGAGATCCCAAAGGAGTAGGGCCAAAAAAAGCAGTCCTTCCTTGTTATTTACATTCATATTGTATGATAGTGTTGCTCCACAATCACTTGCAACAATTTAACAGTTTATAAAAAAGGAAGTGTCCAGCAGGCACCGTGTGTTTTAAGTTCTGATCTGTGGTGAGCAGTGACACTTGGGACTGCAGTCCTCCTTTTAATTTTAGATACTTTAGGCTATTGAAAATTCAGTCCCAAACCTCTCCTACTTTCAAAATGCTTCTCAAAACCTGATCTTTCGACCAAGCTTTTGGTTACCTGCCCTGAAATGTGCTTATATGGCTTAGTGCCAAACTTTGTTAAGCGCCCACCAATGTTAAAGATGGTACATAAAGGCAAGCTGTTGTTGCTGATAAGTCCAAGTGAAGGGCAGGCAATGTAAAGGGAACTGTGTCCAACGAAGAGGCACTCAGTTCGTAGCTTTACACACAGTGTAAAGGAGGTCCAACAGCAGTTTGGGTTAAAATCTGGGTAAATAACACTGGAGACAACATTTGATGCAGCAACTTCTCATTGCTACCACTGCAACCTTCCAGCTGCCCAGCTGTGTTGCTTCAATCTTCCACCTCAAAAGAGGTCGCTGGGTTAAATGTGCACTTGGCCAATCCCAATCCAGCCTCCTTGATTTGTTTGCGTGATTGGGACAGATAGCATAAATTTCTCTTGAGGTCAAATGATGCCATTCACAACTTGGCTCCCTCTGGTGCTCACAGGCTGAAGTGAATCAAAATAGCAGCAGGAGATTGAAGGTATGGCAGTGAAATGTGCAGATGACACAGAGATAGGTAGTAGGTTGTGAAGATGCCAAGGAAACAGACAGCCATAGACAGGTTAAGCGAGTGGGGAAAAAATCTGGCAGATGGAGTATATTGTGGGAAAATATGAAGTTGTTCATTTTGTCAGTAGGAATAAAAAGGCAGAGTATTCCTTAAACAGAGAATGACTGAAGAATTCCGAGGTGCAGTGGGATGTTCTAGTGCAGGAGTCATAAAAGTTACTATGCAGGTACAGCCAGTGATTGAGAAGGCGAATGGGATACTTTCCTTTATTACGTGAGAAATTGAGCATAAAAATGAGGATGTTACGCACTGCTTATACAGGGCATTGGTGAGACCACATTTTGAATACCATGTGCAGTTTGTCTCCTTATTGAAGGAAGGGCATAAATGCGTTGGAAGCAGATAAGATTAATGCCTAGAATGAGTGGGTTATCTTGTGACAAAACATTGAACAGACTGGACTTGTTTCCACTGGAGTCCAGAAGAATGGCAAGATGATTTTATTGAAGATTAAAAGATCATGATTAGTCCTGACAAGATGTGGAGGTGCTGGTGTTGGACTGGGGTGGACCAGGTCAGAAGTCACACAACACCAGGTTATAGTCCAATGGGTTTATTTGAAAACACAAGTTTTCGGACCAGTGTCTTGTGACTTCTGACTTGGTCCTGACAATGTAGATGTGGGAAGTACGTTTCCTCTTGTGGGTAAGTCCAGAATTAGGAGGCCCTTTTTTACGTTAGAAGTCATCCTTTTAGGACAGAGATGAGGAGAACTTTTTTTCTCAAGGATCGTGTAACTTTGGAACTCAGTCTCAGAAGGCAGTGGAGGGCAGGTCATTGAATATTGTTAGGACAGAGGTAAATAGATTGTTGTTAGGTGGTGGGGCGAAGAGTCAAAGTTTATCAGGGATAGATGATGCTGTGGACTTCAAAACACACAAACAGGTCAGTCATGATTTTATTGAATGGTGGAGCAGCCTTGAAGGGCTGAATAGCCTGCTTCTGGTCCTAATTTACCTGTTTGTATTAAATTAGAGTCTGCATTTGGAGAATAAGATGGAAACACTTGGAAAAATCATATCTACAGCACTATTTTATGTGACTGTCACAGATTAGGCCTTTACCTAACATTGTTGCATCTACAATCAAGAGTCCCTTATTAACCACAACCTCTCTTTATTCCCTGCAGTGCATGGATTAGTGTACACAGGTTGAAGAATTAACCTGCACCTTTTCCCATCAGTAAGTTGAAAAGGCTAAAGAATGCTTAGATTTTCTTTATTGATAGCAGGTTCGAATCCAGGTTTTCCTTCTGGTGTAGTCAGGAGCGTTGGTCTGATAGTGGGGGTCGGGCCCTTTGCCAAGGTTGAATAATCCTGATGCGTGGCCATCTAGAACATAGCGAGGGCAGCGAGAATGATAACTGCACTGATTCTTATAGATCTAGGACTAGAAAGGCAATACTAGAGCCCTAGTATATTTGTAACCCTCCTGGTTTCTACAACACAGTTGCAAACTGCCAGTGCAGTCACTTTGGGCAACTGGTCAATGAGACAAATACATCAGTTTATTAACCACCTCAATCTCCTTCAACTCATTTACTCGAGTTTACTGCACATTGCAGAAAGACCTTGCAGTATGATTTACCCTTGGTTTCAAGAAGCAGCAGTATAATCCCTGCCCTATTTGAACATTCAGTAAAACCTCCTCCAGTGTTCTGTAACATTTTAATTCTGTTTTTCATGTCAAAGGCCATTGGTAAATAAAATGGCTTCCAACAAGGAAGCATCATTGTTGAACAGAGGGTTTGTAAGTGGTTTTTAGGTGGTGGTTGGAAGGTACTTTAATGAGTTTTTATTGGACCTGACCTATATTCTTGGTAAAACTTTACCCCACATTTCTAGTGAAGAAATAGTTAAGAGACAGAATCAAATTGACTGTGCCTTTTTCTATTAACATCACCTTCGAGGTGTGGCGTCTAAGACTGATCTATGGCAGTGTCAACTGTCCCTCTAGGCAACTGAGCAATAAATGCTGCTGAAAAGCGACACCCTCATCCTGTGAATGAATAATTAAAAGAAAGGTCATATCGCAAATAACTCTCACACTGTATCCCAAAATGTTTTTCAGGAAAAAAAGAATGATAAAGAAAATATAACTGCTTGAAGGAATTATCAAGCTGTCATGTAAGCACAAAGCTCTGATGTGAGCATAACAGCTTTGGCGTGGCATACTTGGAGACAAATAGTTAGCCACGTGACATGACAACTCCAGGCCTCCAACTTTGGCAAGGCCAGCCTTTGGTGACTAAACATGTTGGAGAATCTCTCAGATTTCCACTAAAATGTAAAACCCACAGATCACAACAGTTAAACCACATAGAGTTGGATTTATAATAATTATTAAGAATAATATGTACAGTATTGCGTAGTGGCAGAAAGCCTCAACTTTGGTATAGTTTTAAAAATAGTTTTTTAAAAAATGGAAAATTGAATTTAACAGTTTTTTTTACAATTACAAAAGCATACAGTTAACTACAGGAATGTAGAGTTTGGAATGGAATGGTTAAAATACAAACTAAATACTTCATATGTAATACATACCAGAAAGACAAAATAAAATGGCGACCTTGTGAATTTGTACAGGAATATATAGATTATTTGAAGTCTATTTTCCCCAGGTCCACAGCTCACGTTTTAAATAATGACTACTGATGGGTAGACTTACTCAAATTCAGTATTAAGAAAAAAATGAGTCTATACCTTAGTCTTGACTATTATGTTGCCATCCACCCCCACCCCTACCTTTATATCAGATGGTCTTCCAGATGATGTCACAGGCTAAACAAGTAATGTAAAGTCATTCAATATATCACATCACTGGAACAATTCATCAATATATGGGGAAGCAGCATAAACTGAAAACTAAACTGACAGTACAAATCCAGAGTTCTAACCAAGTGCCATTATAAAAAGCTCGCTGTTGGGGTTATCTTATTAGAAAAAATGGAAGGCTAATGTATTCGCGCGAAACAACATGACACACCTTGCTTTAAATAACTGTGTAGTCTTTGGACAGCAACATTTAAAAACATACTTTTTAAAAAAAGTCCAATAAATAAAGCTGTTCTCACACCTGATTTGTGACACTTTTCAGTGAACCAGCAGATAATACATCAATTCCTCACCTTCAGGCTCAACCTCCACCTCAGGAAGCGAGTCAGCAATGAGAGAGATTTAGGCTCGATGGTGTACACTCGAGTATTTCCAAAGGTCCTGATTTTTCCATTGCTCAATGGGACATGTTGGATCAGCCTGGCTATGTCTCTAATAACGTGATCTAAATTTAAAGATAGTGTCAATTTAGGATGGGATTTGGGCCTATCTGGCATGTGAGCAGAGCACTATAATATAGCAGCACAATGGGCTTGGGAGAAGCCAGAGAATGAGCGAGGTACACACAGACAGACAGACACACACACACACACAGACACAAAGAGCTGTATTTTAATTCCTGAGGCTGATAGCATAAAGAAGGAATTTTCTAACTCACCAGACCTGCCTTGGTAAGAAGTGCCCTAAAACATGTAATTTTCACTCAGAGGGTGGGAGGATGGGGGCAGGTGCTGAAGAGATTTGGGCTCAGTGACCCTGGAAGCTATGAAATGTTTGTTCTGATTAACAAGGTTAAAAAGACAAGTCAAAAGGCATTGCATCTTAACGCATGGAACGTTCACAATAGGGTAGATGAATTACTGGCATAAATAGAAATAAATGGTTAATGATATAGTTATGATTACAGAGATGTGGCTGCAGGGTGATCAAGAATGGGAACTGAACATCTAGGCATATTTAGAAAGGACAGACAAAAAAGGAAAGGAAGTGAGATAGCATTGTTAGTGAAGGAGGAAATCAAAGCAATAGTGAGAAAGGATATTTGCTTGGAAAACCATGATGAGGAACCTGTTTGGATGGAGGTATGAAACACCGAGGGGCATAAAACATTGTTGGGGGCTGAAAGAAGAAGTAAGGGAAGGCATTAAACAAGAAATCAGAGGTGCATGTAATAAGGGTGCAACTATAATCATGGGCGATTTTTTTGTTGTGATGGGTTCTTTTGAGAACAGCACCCATGACAGAATTCTTCATTAAGGTGAAGAATGAAGTAGTTGAATCTGAAGCGAGGGTCCTGAATCTAAATAAAGGGAACTATGAGGGTCTGAGGCAAGAATTGGCCAGGAAAGAATGGGGAACCTTACTAAACAGGTTGACAGTAGCTAGGCAATGGTTCATTCTTATAGAATGTGTGCATGAATTACAACAATATTCATTCTTATCTGGCACAAAAGTAAAAGAGGAAAGGGGGCTCAACCATGGCTTACCAAGAAATTAAGGTTAGTATTAGATCCAAGGAAGAGACATATAAAAGTGCCAGAAAAAGCAGCAAGCCTGAGGAATGGAAGCATTTTAGAATTCATCAGAAGACGACAAAAGGTTTGATCAAGACAATGAGAATAGGATAGGACAGTAAAATTACAGGGAACTTAGAAACTAACCATAAAAGTTTCCAATAAATATGTGAAGTGAAAAAGATAGGCAAGACAAAATGTAGGATCCTTACAGTCAGATGTGGGGAAAATTATAATGGGGAACAAAGAATGTTAGAGTCTTTGGGAAGGGAACAGTGAGGATTCATTGGATTATACAAAGAATTAGATACAATAATGAAGGACAGCTTGATACATTCCGCATCCCCTCCCCTCTCATTTGGAACAAACAGAGTTAAGAAGGGAATCTGACAAAAGCGTCTAAAATTATGAAAGATTTTGATAGGATTAATAGCAAAAGACTGATTGTATTTCTACAGATTGCTGATTCAGGAAAATGAAATGGGGCCACAGACAAAAAAAAGACAAAATTTATCCCAAGTTATAAGAAGGTGTAATGTGTCACCAGATGTAGCTGTTGAAGCAGGGGACTGTGCCATCTTAAGGGGAAATCGAAAATGTTTGGAAAAAGAAATGAAAGGGTATGTGGAAACAGGAGAGAAATGGATGACAGCAGATTAATCTAGTTAATGAGCTATTACTGTGTGCAGCAGGGAGACTGGCCTCCTTTGTGCTGTAATTGGTTTATAAGATGGGGAACTATAAACAAACAAAGAACTAAGCATTAAAAGCACACATTTGAATTGAATGCAAAGCTAACTTTTGTTTTAAACGGAAGATGTTCTCACCTATTCTGCAAAATGACCACAGAGCCAACCGTAACATTTAATTGTATTTGAAATGCTTTACAACGTAAACATATAAATCTTAGACTCTGGGATTTCAGTTCAAGACTGTAGCCCATTTCATAAAATAGGCCAAAATCAGCTTCCAGCAGATTGTTGTAAAATCCATGATACTAGAACTGCAACTTTACATTGTAAAGCACAACTCTGGTGCTGCCTGATAAAACTAAAAACAGAGTTTGTTTTAAAATCGTTTTATGGTAGTATTTAGAGTTTACTGGTAATCATGGATACCAGTGTGAGCTGGTGGGATTAGCCCCACTGAACAGAGTTTAGTTTCGAAAACTGCACCCAATTAGGGAATTTCTCTTCTTCTACCTTAGGCTTCATTTCCCCACAATCCCCCCGAGGTACCAGCCACACTCTGGTCTCCTACCCCAGTGAGCCCAAGCAGCAAGAACCCACTGACATCCAAGTGAGTGAGATGCTCCTTTCAGGAGCCAGCTAGCAGAGATCAACTGCAGCAATCACTGGCAGAGATGGTGAACTAAGAGTTTGACCCAAGAATTGTATCAGAGCATTTAGGGATACTGGGCCTAAGTTTAAATGTTACTATAGTGTACATATGAAATAAAACAATTGAAAAATCAGAGGGCTTAATTCATTGGCTAGCCTAACAATAAGAGTCAATTCTCCTAGTTTGCATTCAGTTCCCTTACTTCCAATGGGAGATACCGCTCCAGTTAGCAAAGGAAGAAAAAAAAAACAGAACTCGAGTCCATAATTCCCAGATCAGAACAGAGTCATGAACAATTTCTAACTGGATGTCTCCCTCTTGATTCATACAATCAGGAAAAATAACAGCCCAAGTGCAGATCACAAGTCAGAGTTCAAATTCGATCGAATACAACCCAGCCTGGGTGCATGATGAACCTTTTACGTGCTAACTAAATGCTGACTCAAGAACTAGGTCAAGTCTGTGTGGATTGCACATCCTCCTCACTCAGATTTCCAAACCCCCAATCTGCTCCACCCAATGCCTTTCAATGCAATGAATCTGAAAAGTAGTGAAGAGGTCTGACATAAGGGGAGGAATCTTTGCTCTTTCATCTGCTTCTAGACAGACTTTGTAGGTCTAAATGTTAGTTCCATTGAATATTCTTCAATATTCTGGGAGATAAAATATGCTCCCATCCTTAAAAGAAGCTGCAAATCTAACTGGACAGTATTCTCTTTGGGATTTCCAAATAGATCAAGGAATTTAGCAATATTCGGAGAGCTAAACACCTGGAAATGAGTTTGAAATCAATATAAGAGGAAGATAATGTTCCAACATCAGCGGCCATTTTACTTTGGCAAAAACAGATGCCAAAGTTTCTTTGGAAACATCACAGAAGGTCAAATTAACTGTACAAAACATAGGAAGAATAATGGAAAAATACATTAAATTAATTAAGACTACAAGAACAGAAAGAACTCCACAGTTAATGTGTCCAGGTAATACTGCTGTAACAAGGCATTCAAATTTCACAGGCTAAGACAGCCAACACTTCTCTTGGTCTTTTCTATCATACTGAGAAACACGCTTCCTCCCAGCTTTGATGGAGCGTTGGGATCGCAAACACATAGTTGGATCATTTTATCCATTAAGTGGTGAGCAGGTTTTGTGGATTGGTTTTAAAAGAAAACTTATTTCCTCTTTAGAAATAAAAAAGAAATGTGCACTCTCCCTCATGTTTTCTATCCACACCACGCCAAATTTGTGTGGGCCAGCCTGGAATGGATTACAAAGGTACGTGTGCAGGAAGTCTGCCGTTTCAGGGAGTCGATGTGGGGCGACAAAAGAAAGTGCATCCCGAGATGCTCCTCGAGGGAACAGTTTTTTGATAACTGTCAATTTGGTCGCAGTTCCACTCTCCTCTTCCCCCGCCCAACTCTTTTCTTTAGAGATGTTTCCATCCATGTCGTATCACCGCGTCTGCACGTCGGAATGGTTGACTTCTAAGATCTGTGGGAAACAAAAAGGAAAAAGAAAATGGCAGTTGGCACCAACTACTTCACTCTGCCAGTTGGGCAACAAAGAGGCAATCAAGCTACAGGGCAAAGCAGCTGTGCAGGAAAGCAAATTCCGGAACGGCAAGATGTCAGGTTACGTCCAATCAAAATGATGGCAAGCCACTGGGATTGTTACGCATATACATACATTGATCCAGTACATACAGAGTCATTTGGCAGTACAGAGCTTGCATATTGCTGAAAAAGAGACACATTTTGTCAGATCTTTCCCTCTTGTGCTCATCAGGACAATTTGCAAGAATACCAACATAAAGGGAAAGCATTTATACTGTAGCAGAGGAGATTTTGATTGATTGGCAAGTAGATACTTATTGTAGAGGCATTACCATGGAGAATGCACCAGTTAATGGTTGTCATCATTAAGTACAAGATAAAATATGTCTTTTTCAGCAATAATCATCAGTGTTGGAAAATGTAGGATTTTTTTCAAAAGGGACTCAAAATCAGCCACAGTATTGTACAAACTGGATGGAGTCTAACACTCCCCTGGGCTCCTTTTTCCACACATTCTCCTTTGGGGAATTTACATGGTCAACAATACTCTCTAATGAAGAGCTGACACCACCAATCCTTTCCTGCCAAAATTCTCTTCCCTCTTCTATCAGAATGCAACGGTACCACAGCTCAGCTGCCTGCCTTCTACTGGTTGAAATTAACATTGTGCAGCGGACAGCTGGACAACTGTTATTTGTGTGGAATTTTGGTCCCCTCTTCCCCTTGGCCCTGTTGCTGACAGATGCACAACTTCACACCCCCCTCACCAACTTCACCCGGGAGGGAAGAAGGGAGATATCACAGGTATCTTAGGTTCCTTGGAGGCTGAGCTGACAGTTCATGCGAGCTTTGTTTGCACCACTTTATCTGCTTGAGCAGGATCAAGCAACATGCATAAGATATCAGAAAGCTAACAAAGAACAGAAAGGGAGCTGCAGAAGGGAAGTCGCCAGGAACCCATAAGTATATTACAGAAAAATTAAGATACAAACTGAAGGGCAAACAATATTAAGGGGGATTTTATTTTTCTGTTTATAGAACAAAAAAAGACAGGGTTACACAGGATTGGGTTTGCTTTGTCATTCAGCCGATCGTGCCGATTTTTTTTAAGCTCAGGGCTGAACTGTATCTCACCTCCATCTCCCCATCTTGGCTCCATATCCCTTAATACTCTACTGACTGCAGATTTACAGGAAGGCATCTTCCTGGCTTTCAATTACCTTAAGCCCTATTGACCAGGCCATTTTTTGAAACAGTTCAGGTACAAACATCTGCTTTCATGTCTGACTGCAAAAGCGTAGAATCATTGAATGGTTACAGCATAGGAAGAGGCCATTCTATCCATCATGTCCATACTGGATCTCTGAAAGAGTATTTCACAACAACTACTCCCCTACCTTTTCTGTTTCAGATAACGATTTAATTCCTTCTTGACTGCCTACAACACACACTCAGGCAGCACATCCCAAATCTTAATCGCTTGCTGCATGGAAGTCTCATTGTGTCACCATTGCTTCTTTTGCCAATCTATGTCGTTCAACCAATCTCTCCCCATCTATTCTGTCCACACCCCTCAGGATTATGGACAACTCTATCAAATCTCATTTTAACCTTCTTGTCTCCAAAGGAGAACAGTCCCAACTTTTCCAACCTATCCATGTAACTGAATATAGTTGATCAGCCCTGAGACCACTCCCAGGGATGTCCTTCACATCCTTCCTAAAGTGCAGTGCCGAGAGCTGCATGCAATACTCCAACTGAGGCCAAACTAGTAAAAAAATAATGAATGGAACAGGATTTGGAGGTGCAGTGGTAGTGTCCCTATCTCTGAGCTAGAAGGCCTGGATTCAAGTCACATCTATTCCACAGGAGTATCAGAACACATCTTAATGGACTGATTAAAATGTCTATAATCAACCTAGGCAAGAGAGACAAAGGAAGAACTGTTCCCATCATCTATAAGAAAATAGAATTGACTGAATCAAAAGTCCCAAAATTATCCCATCATCCAATCAAGAAGAGGCAGCCTTCGTAAACTCCTTTCTCAAAAACTAGGTTGAATAAGGATTAAGTTGGTGGTACTGCCATCATCTAGGTGCAGATATGAGGATATCATGTTCCCAGGTCAACACTTAAAAATTCCTGAAATATAGCACTGCCAAGTAGGGTTATTCCTCCAAAAAGGTGACAAGCCAGCTTTGTCCCCGGGGGCACAGTGTATAGATTTTGCAGTACAGGGAACAGGAGGGTTTGATGTTTTGACTCAGCAGCAGGGACAATCTAAGTGAACTCAACACAGAGTGCTAAAAAATCTGAACAAACTTTCATGACTACATAACATCCCAAAGTACTTTGAACAGCTTACTTTTGGAGCTTGGCCAATGCATGAGACATCAATTTTCAGGCAGCAAGTTCTCACACGTAGCAATGTGACATGTTCAGATCATCTACTTTAGTGATGTTGATTGAGGGACAAATAATAGCTAAGAGCCAGGAGAACTTATCTGCTCGTCATGGAAAGAATGCTGTCAAATCTCATATCCAATGCTTCAGCGGAAAGATGGCACCTCCAACAATGCAGCATTCTCTCAGTACTGCCCTGGAGTGCCAGTCCAAACTATATACTCAAGTTCCTGGACTGGGATTTGAACCTACAGCACTCTTGAGATAAGATTGCTACCAACTAAGCCACAGTTGAATACTGGAAGCCAAGGAAGAGGTAAAAAGAAAATCTGCAAAGATTTCCACTCGCAATGACCAATGCTCTGATGCCCAGGATAGCCCAATATCTTGCTGACACTCAAACTCTATGGCACTCACATGAGGTGCCAGGAAACAGCTCCCCCAGTCAGGGTCATTGCCTTTAGGAGAGCAGGGAAAGACAAGTTGACAAATAATGGGTCACTGAAGCCAAGTAGGATTATGATGAGGATGAGCACATATATCGGGAGAGTAAGTGATAGAAAACAGACATTTGAATGGAACAAGGGAATCAGTAGTCACGTTATTGATTTCAGACAACTCTCAACTCCTGTTTCTTAAAATCAGAGTGAAACAGAGCCTGGAGCTAACTCTTCTCCATAGGCATTAAAAACTTAAATGTAAAAATAAGTGCATGCTCACAGGCTGGTGAAAGCAAGGAGTTTCTCAATTGTCATGTTTCAGCCCAAACTTGCTACTTGTTTAATAATTGAGTGCCACATGATTCAACATTCAAGCAGGATTCATTGAGAAAAGGAAAATATGAAGAAGTTGTGTATTTGCAATACTTTCTAAAAGCAGAATAGTCGACCGAGATTGAAGGCATTCTGAAGCTTTCCCTTTGCCCCTTGGCCTCCACCGGGGACTCTTACTTAATGCTTTGATTTTCATGAGCATTTAACTTGGGTCTACAGATATAAAGGACTGGAGCTGGCAAGCCTTGCGAACACACTAGTTTCATTTCCGCTGCGTGTTTGACAAACTCTTACCCGTGTTGGAGAATTTGGAAAATTACCGTTCATACTCTTCCCTTTAGCTAAAGAAATGAAGAAAATGAAGATGAATGAATGATGATGAAAGAGGAGCAACACCTTTATAAAAAGGTTGAGATTGTCAAAGTCACCAGCTTTACCTGTAGCTAGAATGCCAGCAAAAAGAAACCACACTGAGGACAGAAAATGACCACAATCCTTTCAGAAATTAGAATTCCACATTAGAAATGATAACATGTCATTTAGGCAACACATACAATAAGCACAAGGACAGCAGCGAAGATGAATGAAAATGGGTATGGAAAAGAATGGAAGTGCTTTGGAAAACATTAATCAGACACACAAAGAAACAATGTAATTCTCTCGCCTGAAACTAAATTGGGACACATGCCCTGTAGATTTCTGCCATTGCCCTGTCCTATAGGTAGCCAAAGACAACTTGGCTGACAAAGTTTTGCTTGACCATCATTAATGCTCATTAGCAAATGCTACCAAGGGGCATTGACCAACTCTCTAACCAACCTCTAAGCTAGGGTACCGGGATACTGATGCCTGGCTAAGCTGTCTCCTGGCGGGATATTCAGGTCTAAATGAATCCCTGCCTCAACCAGCAAATTTGGGATGTCCCCATGTTCTCCCGTTGAAGGCAAGGAGCCAGCTTGTGGAACACTATAGGAGGTGTACAAAAAAAAACAAAACAGATACAGTATGTCATGAAGAAACCCCACCCCCATACAAGCAGTAATTCAAATGGAACGTGTAAAATGGATCATTTCCTTTCAACAAACAATAGAGACAAGAATGAAGAAACAGAATTATATAAACCTGTCTTAGCTGTAGACTGTAGAGGGCACAAACATTAACAATTGGACTCTTCACACAATGACGTTTCACAGAAGAACCAGGACCCACGTTTAGCAGTTCGGGCTGTGAAGGGCACACTCTTCAACGCTGCAGAAAGAAGATTGTGCAATAGAGAGAGGGGAGAGAAAGAGCAGCAGAGGGGTCGGGGAGGAACAAAAGAAAAAGAAACCACATCAAGTCATACAATAGAGAGGAGCTTCAAAACAGTCACAACGCAAAAAGCAACACATGCAATCGAAATGGGAAATCTCTATCCCTTATTTCATGGACCACTGCCTCAAGAATATGCACCGTGACTGGAACAGTTTCTCTCCTTTGCACTGAACAGCAGCCCACAATGTTGCACTGGAAGAATCCACTGTTAATTCTGAGGGATAGCTTGCTTGAAGGCCACTCTGAGCAATTCAGCCACATACCAGACCACAGTATGCAAGGCTAACTCCATGAATTCACAACCAAACACAAGATTCTGATCACAGTCAGCTGCTGACCTGCAGCCAGAATTTCCCCACAAAAAGAAACAAATTCTCGCTCCTGGGAATTTTAATGGAACTACTTCTCTCACTCTTTGGGTAGTGTGGTCAATCTCGTTGCCAGTACCCTTGCCTTTATTTAAAACTCTAAAATCAGAGGACATGAGTGGGAATGGCGGTGGATGTGGCAGGGTTGGGGGTTCAAACCTGACTTTATACAGGTTTATATTACAAACCAACTGGCTTTAAGTAGAGAAACGAGAAGCAACATCTTCCTGGAGCCATGGATGAAGGGGAACCTGGGTTGCAAATAACAACTCCTCAATGATTTGTTTTTTGAAGAAGTGGCAAAGAAGATTGATGGAGGCAGAGTGGAATTGTCGACATGGACTTCAGTAAGGCATTCAACAATGTTCTGCATGATGGACTGGCTAACAAGGTTAGATCACATGGAATACAGGGAGAACTAGCCATTTCGCTACAAAATTGGCCTGAAGGAAGGAGACAGAGGGTGGTAGTGGGGATTGTTTTTCAGAAAGGAGGCCTGTGACCAGCAGTGTGCCATAAGGATCGGTGCTGTGTTCACTGCTTTTTGTCATTTATATAAATGATTTGGATGTGAACATGGGAGGTATGGTCAGTAAGTTTGCAGATGACACCAGAATTGGAGGTGCAATGGACAGCGAAGAAGGTATCTCAGAGTACAATGGGATCTTGATCAGATGGGCCGCTGGGCTGAGGAATGGCAGATG